AGAGGCCCAGGCTGCCTGGGTTTGGCCAGCTGGGATAACACTTCCCACCCCCTCCTGCTTTTCCCCGGATGCTGCAGTGGAGGTGGTGCCAGGAGCCTGGGGCCATCTGGAAAAGCTCATGGACAGCAGCAGGGACCCTACTGGAGACAAAGCCCAGCATTTCGGCAGGGCCTGGGTTCTTCGCCGGAGGCTCCTGCTCCGCCTGGCATGTCCACAGTGGGGGCAGCTCACCTCTGGCCACCCTTGGACCCCAGGGGGGGCAGGGACGCACCTGCTGCAAGGGACAGGGCTTTGGGTGGCTCGAGGGAGCGCGAGTCCTGCTTAGCCTGGCCCTGGCAGGCACGAGGCAGCCCTGCCAGGATCCACCCCCACCAGGCAGCTCTCGGCTTCCCGAAAATAAACTGGAGATGCCCGACCTGGAAGAGACCCCGGGAGCTCAGCATCCTCCAGACCCTGTCACACCAGGACAGTGCTTGCCACTGCGGGACGGGGCCCCACGTGCCACTGCAGTGTGGGTGATGGGGTGACCAGGGCTGGCAGGGGCTCTCTGCCCACTTGAAACCAACACAGGAGAAACTGTGCTTCCTCCTGCCTCCTCCTCTTCCTCTGCAGGCCAGGGCACGATTCCCCGTGTGCTGTTGAGGAGAGGACCCGGAAAACAGAGGAAGCCAGTCTCAGCATGGAGGAAGAACTGGGGCTGGGATATGCAGAACAGTGAATGTGCGGCTCAAGGCCAGAGGAAACGACGCTGGGGACACTGGGGATGGGGAGAAGAGCTGCGGGGCCCTGGGAGGGGTTGAACCTGCTGCCTGTGCGAGCTGCAGGCAGGGCTGAGGCTCTGGGTGCTGCCTGGGCAGGGGCTGGTGCCAGCAGAGCCGGGCTGTGGGTGGGATGCTCCTGCCAGCTACATTGATCTCGGCACACATGTGCGTTGCTCATGCCCGTCAGCTCCCCTCGCACCCACCCTGAAGCCACCAGCCCTCTCCCCGTGGTGCCAGACCCTTCATCTCACAGGGAGAAAAGTCATTTCTGGGGCCGCAGGGGCAACACACGAGGTGATGGTGGAGCTGACAGTCTGCAGGTCTGCTTCAGCACAACTTCGCATCCATCATCTTCTCACTCTAGCAGCTCTGAGGCTTTTCCCCATCACATCCCAGAGTAGCTCTCAGGGTGCACAGCTGCTCCCTCATCCAAATAAAATCTTGCTTGGGTGGTCCCATTTTGCAGTCTGCTGCGGGAAGCTCTCACCCCTCTCCCACAGGTGCTGGCAAGGGCAGGAAGATCAGCTCTCCCTGTGCGCAGAAGTGGCCAAAGTCCCTGGTACAGTCACTCATTTTTCCTGGGCAGTGGCCAATGGCAAAACTCAAAATAAATATTTCCCTGGCCTCCAGCACTGCCCACCCCACGCTAGACGGCAGCTGCAGAGGATGAGCGTCACCCTGGAGGTGTAATCCCTCTACAAAGATGGTTAACATTTGGCCCAAGACATCCAGGGAGATGCAGAAGAGGAGGTAGAGAGGGCAAGGAGCAGAGAGTTTGACCCAGATTTTTTTTGATTCCTGTGCATCACCTCTGTGATCAGAGCTCCGGGCTTTGTGTCAGTATTCACTTAATAGGACAGAGACAGAGTAAGGGGAAGGCCACAGCCAGGGACAGAAGCCCGTGCCAGTGTCCTGCCACTCCATGGGGCCAGGCTCTCACCGGGACTGCTTCTGCCCCAGCAGCAGAGCAGAGACAGCAAGCTTTCCAGGAAAACCCTGTCACCTGCTTCCCCTGCCACCTGCCTGGGCAGAGCCACTGCAGCCAAGGGATGTCCCAGCCTTGGCTTGCATCACAGAGTGACTGCCAGCTGCTCCAGCTCGGTCCCAGCACGTCTGCTCCCTGGCCCAATGTGGGGAAGGTCGCTCTCCTGTCCCTTGCTCTGAGGTGCTGCAGCCCCTGAACTGCAGCGTCCTTCAGCTGCCGCGATTTCAAAGGGAAGCTTTGCCTTTGATGTAGAAAGCAGGCTCCCAGCACTTAGGTTCTGATCAAAGCACCCAAGTACGGGACCTTGCCCCAGACAATGGGAGAGGAAGGTGAAAAGCCGGTGGAGGTAGGAAAACTCATCTTTGGTTGGGCCCCACTCTGCCCTGGGTTGAATCCAGGGCTCCCTGCAAAGAAAGATTCCTTTCTTTGCCACTAGACATGAACCACAGTGAGGACTCAAGCAGGAAGGAAGGAGTGGGCAGCCCCAAGGTGAACAGGGAGATACTTCAGACCTTTTCTCGCAGGCTGTCTGCACTGAACCAGGACACCCCTCTGTTCACACCCCGCACCAAGCTGGGGCTGTCCTGGGAGCACACAGGCAGCAGTTGTCCTCGGGGCA